CACTTAAAGTGAATATTTAAACCTTAAATCCACTTGTTTACTACTAAATTTCATATTTATTTAGACAAAATAGAATGGAATTGATCAGTTATTGACCCGAATTTTAATTTCAGGATAATCTCAAATAGTGTGTCTCATTGTCTCTCCACAGAAAGAAGTTGATCGTGTGACTCTAGCAGTGTGGTGCCTGAATCCTACCCACAAACCCACACTTCTCCGTTTGTGCGTCTGTGCTTACGTCTGTGAAAGATAAGGGGGGCGGGAGGGAGGGAGGAAGGGCAAGGGGTCTAATCCAAAATCACATATAGATGGGAGGGGGATAGAGCGGAGGAATTTTAATGTGCTGTTTATTATTGTGATGTATACAACTAAAAAAGTTTGATCAAATTTCAAAACACTTGAATACTGTACCAAAATATGAAAAAGTCTATGAATCCTATTGCTATATGAATTTTGAATTGATGATGTTGACAATAGTAATGCTAAACTTGAGAGAATGTATTTGTCTGTGCTGTATAGATATCGTTATAAACGAATATATATAAATATAAATATTTCCTAAGGATATATATGGGATTATTCCACTGTAGTCTAGTTACATTTTGAGACCCTAAATAAATATAATAACAATAACGTGAAAAAATTCACAAAGCCCCACAGAATTTGTTCCTTGAAATGTTTACCTCTGGTGGGTCGTGGTTTGGTACAGTTTGTTCCATTTCTATGTTCACCTCTTTTGTTGGGTATTTTGTTGGTTTTTATTTCTTCATGGGTGGGATGGAGCACTGATGTGACTGAGACTGAGGCGGTGGGGAGCATCCAGGGCTCATGGAGGGACCACATTATTTCAACCAGCAAGCAAAACGGTCAAGGGTATCTTAAAGCATTTCTCATTTCCTGACTGAAAATGTTGACTTTGTTTAGTTCTCTCTCTTTCAAATCTTTGTCTTGTGAAAAGCACATGCGTTCTCAGTGCAGAATTAGCGTGGTTGTTCATGACACAATGCATCTGAGTGCTGTGTTGATGTAGTGCTGTTTAAGTTAGAGGATGCTAAAAATCGATATATAAATATATATATGGACTGGGGTTTTGTTTGTGTTGTGTGAGCACCGGATAGAGAGATCAATCCTGTGTGTTGAGATGTCAGTAATGTAGATATACGTGCCAGTTTCAATTTCATCAATATTTTCTTGTTTCCCTCTCTCAAAAGCATATGCATTATCACAGGATTTAAGCCTGCGATATTGAGGTATATTTTCAGATGTACATATAAAAATATATATAAAGTACCTGCTCATTCTTTAAGCGATATCATGAACTGCTATAGTGTGAAATTCCCATGATTTGCATCAAAACATCACCGGAATGCCAGTTTAGATGATTTTTCTGCTTGATCAAGCATTCGAAATGCAGATGATCAGAAATATCTGGTGTATATGATAGCTCGACCTCTCGGCTGGAATCAAGGGGGTCATTTAAATTAGCTGCAAAATGTATCATTTGAACCATGTTTATGGCAGGTTAACTGATGTAATAAAGTCTTTAAAGTTATTGTTTTGTATAGTATTTAAACAGTATATATGAAAGTCTAGCACTTTCAGATGCAAGGATGCTGAGTATTAATCTTATTAATCTAGTAAATGCACCAGATTAGTTTTTTCCCAGAGTTGATCATCGTTTTATTTAGGGCTGATGCAGCAGATGTTGTTATGATGAGATCCTTTATATTATTGCATGATCAGATGCTCATAATGCAAGCTTACCCAGACTTATAACTATCTATTTGATATTTTTTCAGACTATTTAATTTGCCTGCGACTTTGAGGAAAACCAGGTTTCGCTTTTGGGTAGAAGGCCAAGGGCCTGCTAAATGTATTAGCGTGTCTCTCCCTCCCTCATTCTCTCTCTCTTTCTCTCTCTTTCTCTTCCATTCTCTGCTCTGGCCCACTCTTCCCCTCTTCCAAATTAATATGCTACTCAACTTCTCCGTTGTTAGTGGTGTTTGATATGTCTTGTGAAACTCTCGATGCCTTTGGGTTGTGCTGTATTTAATGTGTATGATATATTCTTAGCGTTTATGAAGATTGATGAAAATGTTTATGACCATGCTGAAAACTCAATCACCAAAATTATCCAGAAATTCGGTTGTATTGTTCTATGGAATCCACGAAGGAAATTCAATAAAGAATAAGTTATCCTGTTGAAAAAAAAAGGTATTTGTTGCTTCTGTGATTCAATCATTATAATTTTTGTTGCTTCTATGATTCAATAATTACAATCAAATAGGATGTTGTCTATTTTATTTTTATTTTTTTGCAAAACTGAAAATCAGTTATCTATTTAATGATAACGAAGAACAAATGATTATTTCCTCATATAAATAACATAATGCAAAATGTTTAATGTTATGACTTTATAGTAAACTGGAAGACTGAAAATTTCAAAATTTTTGTGGTGTTGTATGAATAAGGGTAGAGCATCCGGTCTCGGGAAGGAACACTTGATAAGTTTCACTTACTAGTAGGGTTGCCAGACTTGTTGTGTAAGCATACACACACACACACACACTTGTGCTTACACAAGTTTTCATTAGGAATTGGGCTGCTTTTGATACGCATAAATTTCTCATTTGTTAAATTTATGTTGTTTACTTATGTCAAATACTTAAATATTTAATAAGTACCTTAACCAATAGGACTAACTTAAATTAATCACTAATATAGACTGTTGCAAATCAGTTTTTTTCACCACCAGCATGTTTTCTCTACACTGCAAAGGTGGGACAGATGCTGCATCTGACATACCTGTTTATTTACACAGACTGTTTTTTTATTATTATTTATGGCTTTTTATTGATAGGATAGTAGTGAGACAGGAAACGAAGTGGGAGAGAGAGAGGGGAGATGGGATCGGGAAAAGTCCGCGAGCGGGGACTCGAACACGGGACGCCCGAAGCGCAATGGCGCTATATGTCGACGTGCTGCCCACGAGGCTATCGGTGACGACTACACAAAGTGAAAATTGCATAATGTAAATAACCTATAAATTAAAAAAAAACAACAAAAAAAACAGGAACTCAGAGGGTAAAACCAAAATATGACTATAATCAATTAAATCGATGATTATCGCTCTTGATATTGTAATAATGATCATTACAGTTTTTCTCAACTGCTTAAACACACTTGTCCACTCAGACATCACATTTTCAAAACAATTAACACACATGCTGAAACTGAAGCACAGTGGTGGACAGTAATGGAGTAGCTTTACTTCGTTACTGTACTTAAGTACATTTTTCAAGTATCTGTACTTTACTGGAGTCGTTTTATTTCGAGTAACTTTTACTTTTACTTCACTACATTCCAAAGCATAAGATCGTACTTTTTACTTCACTACAGCCCACTGAAATGATTGAATGCAGACACATCAACATCTGTGTCTCTATTTTAGGTTAAAAAAAACCGAAACATTAAAATAACACAGACTAATTAAAATAATTCATGCGTGTTCATATTCCCCACAGCCATAACGTTAACAGTTTTATTAAAATGCTACGCATTTAGCTTTGAGCAGTAGGATTATAAAAAATATGTGCTAATATAAAATTAAATTAAGTAGACTATATAAAATTGCAGAATAAATCTATCTATCAGTACTTTTTTACAAATTAATTTATTAATTCAATCAATCATTACACAATGGACAACAAAATACAAAACACAGCTATCAATATGAAATTACACTGTTCAAACTCAGAGGTGTTGAATATAGTTTAAAAAAAGAGGAAACTTGAGGTTGAAGCTGGCTTCATCCACAAATTAATTTGTGATGTGCCCCGTGAGCTTAAAAGTACATTATTCTCTAAAAAAGCAAAATCATAGAGCAAATTATTCCAGTTGCATGTAACTGTATGGTATAACATTGCATTACAATAACAAATCCGAACAAAGCATATCAAAATTGACATTATGACAAACACAAAAATGGGACTGATGAAACATCTGCATTACTGTAGACAAAGTTCGTTCTGCCAACAGGGCAATACAGTAAAACTGAAATACACAGTGGTATACAGTAACATTGTGACTTACCTGTTGTCATTTTGAAAAAAAGCCTGGCAATAGATGCCACAGTGCTCTGACTCAGAATGGGTTGGACCCTTTGTCCAGCCTCTCTAAAGGACAAGCTATGACTGATGACATGGTCAATAATTGTTGCCTGAATTTCATTTGAAACTTGATCTGTATTTTCTCCTTTTACAGTAATGCAGCTCCTCCACCAAGTATGCAAACTCCTCTTTCTCTGGCCCTCTGCCATGCTCTCTTACTCTCCTTCCATGCCTTTGGTCTCTTTGATCCATACTTGCAAATAGCAGGACAGAAGTGGAATCTTTTATAGAGGGATGAGGACTGATTGCTGATTGAAGAGTTGTGCAAATGAGTTTCACACAAGTGCACTAGAAATTCATAATTATGCAAGTACTTTCTATCAGCTGTGAATAAATGTTTTCCTTTTGTTCAACACAGTGAATCCAATAGAGTTTGGGGTCTTTCAATGAGATCTGTAGTGACTGTTTTGACAAAGGGTGTGAAAAATGTGTGAAACAAATGAAAAAGTGTTTTCAAGAGAAGACTTCTGCTGTGCTAAGAATGTGATGATGAAGATCAAGTGGATCCCAGTTTCATTGAGCATGTCTTAGCAAATGAGAAAAACTGTAATTTAGATTAATACTTTTTTTTTTTGCGGGGGGGGCATATTCATTACACTGAGGTGCAAAGGGCAACTTGTTATGCACAAATACTCAGACCCCCACCCCCGCAGCTACAGAGTGAAATGAGACCAAATCTGCTGGAAAACCGCAGACTTGGCAACAAGCAGCACAGCAGCAGAGATAAAGATAACGGGAATCTTAAATGTGTCATTCACTGTTACTCTTATGGGTGTGAGTTGTATTATGTTGTGCAATAGATGTAAGTAATTCATTTCGTCTCTACAAAAGCATTGTGAAAGCATCCCTTCCGAGCGATTTATTCAACAGATTCTTTTCAGGTATTTAATGCATAAAACATATCCCAGGTTACGATTAGGTTTTTAAATCATTTCATATATTATAATATATTTCATTTTATTTATTGGTTAATTGTATATTTAGTTAGTTTTATGTATAGTATAGTTTTATGCTTAACAAGTTATAAAGTTTTGTGAAGTTTGTTGTAAAGTTGTAAAGTTTGTGGCCTTATTACTCAAAAGGTAACGTTAGGCCATTTTTTCTTCGTGCTCTCGTGTTCTTCGTGTTTAAAGATGAAATATGTAACCTTTTTGGTTTTAAAATACAGCGCTTCCTGTCTGCATAACTTCTTATCTCTTTTTGACTGCTCTGTAAAATAACAAGTAAAATGCAATTTGATATTGCATTAGTTCATAGAGAGAGAGAGAGAGAGAGAGATTTAGGTTCGTTATAAAACAGTAACATGTAAAAATTGTAACAACCTCATTTTTATATAGTGAAATGTAATTATTTTGACTGTTTGAGTTTTATTAAAATTAACCATTGGTCTTCTTCCATTAGCATACATTTAGATCATGATAACGACAGTTAAAACCACACCTCAATACCATGATAAAAATGTAACTAGGCTATATGGTTTCCAGGTATTTGTATGAAAAACAGTGACCTAAATACATTTTCTATAAATGCACAAATGCTATAGTTTAATATATATATAGACATATTAGAGGTTTTTGCATCTGAACTCTTCATGTTATTGATGATATGTTATGAACTCATGCAATGTCAAAGTGCATTTATTTATGCATGTTATTTAATATTGTATCTTAATGTATATAATTACGTTTTTTTTTTTGGAGCGTTATGCACACATTGTCTGTTACTGTACCTGCTTCTTTATTATTTTTAATCAAGTTACAGGATCAAGATGGTAGACACAAATGAAGATAACCAGCCATTTTCAGCCACTGCGCAAAACACAAAATTCATCTGGTCACCAAAGGGGATGATTTTAGCTCTTGAAATTGTAAGTCTGCCCAGAGTTAGAAAAGTAGTTGATCAAGATTCATGCTGATTTAAAATTAATAATGTACTAATCTGATTGGTTTAAAGTAGTATTAAGCATAATACTTTTATTTGATACATTTATTACAAGCTGTAGGTGATTCATCTTGAACAATTGTGTGTGTGTGTGTGTGTCATGGGTCAGAAAAATGCATATATGTATACAGTACTTTTTTAATAAATTATTTTACTATTTGTTTTAATAGGCTCTGTGTGCCATTGTGACTATTTGTAAAGCAGTTTCCTTTGAATGCTACTTTTGGGGCTGCATTACAGAGCTGGTCTGGGCCATTCTCATATTCATCGTTTATGCCATCGACCTACCTACCTACATGCACCTATCACTGATGTATTTCCAATGGCTGGTAAAAAATATTTGTGTACTCGATATTGGATTATCTTTATTTATTTAGACCAATTACTTGCCCACCATGTTATAAGTTATAAGTTTACTCAATACCTTTATTCTCAAGCTCTTCCTTTACATTTTTTACTGAAAAAATACATTTAAACAAAGTCATATGTTCTCCTTCATACTGTAGGACTTATTCAGAGCAATCACAGGATCAGTCCTCCTTCTTGTTACTTCTCTTATCTGTCTTAGCTGGGGATGGGAAAGTTCCGGGGAAGTTGCTGGTTCGGTGAGTAAATTGGCAAAGACTGCATTTGTGGCTGAAAGGATAATCTTAAAGTTATCGGTTACTCTGCCCCGAAATGAATATCTAATGGTGTTGCTGTCAAACTCTCTGAACACATTTTACTAAATTAGATCCTAATGTACTTTTTAGTGATTATAAGATATGGTATGTATATGAACGATTGATTTTCTTATTTTCTGTTTTGCATTTTATGACCCTTGTGCTTTCACCATTGTTTCTTTCACACTTTTTTCATGCTTGCTCTTTCTTTAAGATTTTTGGTTTGCTGGCAGCAGCAGTGCTTGGATATGATGCCTTTGGCATAATCAAATACATTAAAAGTCTGAAACAGCAGGGGGCGACTGTGGCTGTTAGTAAGTATCAGCACCAACATTCCTCAATAATCACTATAAAGTTATATGCAATGTTTTTAAATGTCCTTTCCAAATGTTAGAAACCCTTAAATAAAGAAAACATCTTAGAACTTGGATGTTGGTTTCACAAATACACAGAAGTACAGGTCCAAAAACATCATAATCTTCTTTCTGTGCAGTTTTTCTTCCGTTTTTGCCAGGCTTTAATGATACAACAGCTCAACTAATTGTTTTACATGTTCTGTTTTCCTTCCCAGGTGTTGTTATGGTCCAAAATGTGGTTTACTGAATACAACAGGAACTCCTAAGTTTTTCACATACTGTATGTTTACAGTTGATAATTTTGTATATTTTTGTCATTTCTTGTTAACATCTAAAAATCTAGATTAAAATGACCAATTTTCAAATATACTTCATGTTATGACCTTAAAGAGTGCAATTATTAGCCTGTTGCATATTTTCTGTTGGAGATCAATAATACACAGTAATATACAAACCTCATAAACTAAAAATTTTTTAGATTTTAACATTTTATTAAGAACCAGCTTTCACAAAACCATATATAAAGGTACAAACACAAAAAAGAGTTCAAAAGGTTGTGTTCCCAAAATGCTAATTCACCTATATGAACACAACAGTCTCTAATTTAAAAAGCCCTACAATAAAAAAATGGCAAAGACAGACATCCAGTTCATATAAAAAATATTCACAATAACAAAGAAAGACATTTAATACACTTAACCCTAAAATCGCTAAGTAAAAATGAATAAAAGATTAAAAATAAAAAAAAGAACTATAAAAGAAAAATGATTAAAAAAAAACATAGAAAACAGCAGCACCACAGACTGGGAAGATTGATTTTCAACACTGATCCTACCATAGATGTTGGCAAGAAAAGAGTCTCCTGAGAAAGATACTATATAATAGTATCTGTGAGTAAAGACTGTCTGCACATTATAAAGTGCACTTGAATTACTAGTCACCTCTGTACTGTGTGGGAACTGCAAACTGGTCTCCTCTGGGATGGGCCGGTTCTGTTGTATGTTCTGCCATTTGTTGTGTTGCAGCTAAATTGTCCCCAGCTATCCTAGTAGACCCAGATGTTCCAGTGCAGTTTTGGATGCTATCTCTGAGCTCAGACAGCTGGTGAGAATGGTTAACAAGGGTGCTATTTACATGAGACAGATACCCATCAGAGTGTCTCTCCAGCTCTCCTCGAATTCTTTCTAGGTCGTCAGCCAGGTGTGCCAGGCCTCCACACTGACCCTCCACACGAGCAACACGACCCCCGACTTCAGTCACCTCTTTCTGGACACCCAGAGCAGTGGAACGGCAACCCTGGAGCTCTCCGGCCACTCGGCGCCGCAGATCCTGGAGTTCCCCTTTCAGACGGGTCAATTTTCGCTCCCCAGTACCCAACATAGATGCCTGTCGTCCCACCAGCTGAACCACACCCTTCACCTGCTGCGCAAGCCTTTCTTCTCTTTCTTGCCAGGTGAAGTTGGTTTGGCCGACCTCTCTGATCACAGAGCCGAGAGACTCTTGCAAGCCACAGAGAGACCTGTTAACGGAGTTCACGCTAACTTTCAGCAGGGTCACCTCACCCTGAAGACCTGCCTCCTCTTGTTTCTCTGCCAACTGGACAAGAAGATTATGTAGAGTGGCGTTGAGGTTGTTCAATCTCTCTACTTGTAAATCAAGTTTCCCATTCATTTCCTTGTGGTTGTCCTCACTTCCCTCATCCTCAGTTCCCAAAGGAGCGACATATCCTGTAAGAACAGGCTGTGGAACACAAGATGAAGTGCACATGACCTCTATGGATTTGAGCTGTTTCTGTAAACGGTCCAAATCGTCCTCAACTCTTCTTCTGAGCGATTCTACTTCTGTCTCCAGTGTGGGCACAGCCTGACCCTCTAGTAAAGTTGGTGCTGTGACATTACCTAGCTCCTCCACTCCTCTTGTTTCTCTGCCAACTGGACAAGAAGATTATGTAGAGTGGCGTTGAGGTTGTTCAATCTCTCTACTTGTAAATCAAGTTTCCCATTCATTTCCTTGTGGTTGTCCTCACTTCCCTCATCCTCAGTTCCCAAAGGAGCGACATATCCTGTAAGAACAGGCTGTGGAACACAAGATGAAGTGCACATGACCTCTATGGATTTGAGCTGTTTCTGTAAACGGTCCAAATCGTCCTCAACTCTTCTTCTGAGCGATTCTACTTCTGTCTCCAGTGTGGGCACAGCCTGACCCTCTAGTAAAGTTGGTGCTGTGACATTACCTAGCTCCTCCACTGCAGCCAAAAGACGACTTTCAAGAGCCTTAAGCTTCCCCTCCAATTGCACCTCCAGGTTGCTAGGCCGTCTTTTGTTAATGGTTGCTTCCTCTTGATTTAGTGCAATGTTCATCTTGGATTCCATGTAGCCCAGTCGGCCTTCCAACATGCCCTCTATATGGTCCTTGTGTCCACCAAGTTCAGCACGTAAATGAATTTGGGACTCATTGAAGCCACCCACTGACTGCTCCACATAAATGAGCCTTTCAGTTAGACCTGATATGGCAATGCAGCAACCCTCTTCAGGCTCCAGGTCTCGAAGCTGAGCCTGCAGTTTTTGGAGTTCTGTCCTTAATCCTATAGCCCTTATGTCTAGGACTTGCTCAATTTGCTCTTGTCCATCCAAACGTTCCTCCTTGCACTGAAGGCGCACCTCTGCCATACGACCCTCGCATCGCTCCTCAGCACTCTCCACACGCTTTTCAAAGCCATCTAAGATGGCCACCCGAGCGTCGCTCATTTTGGACTCCACCATTGTCTCCAGGGCCTTTTGAAAGTGAGTTTGTGTAAGGTTCACTGACCTATTTGACAGTCTTTGAAGGGTGTTGTTGTGACCCACGACTGCTCCTCTCAACTCTTCCATCTCAGATGCCTTTGCCACAAGCTCTGCTCGTAGCTCTGAAACCTTTTCAGCCAAATCGACCAAGTTTGGGAACTGCCCCACCACATCTGAACCCTCAATATCTGGTGCACCTCCAGGCAGATCTCCAAAACCCACAGAAGAGTCCCTGGACAGGGAAGGAGCAGCGATAGGGCTGGGTCCTGCAGAAATGAGAGCAGTCAACATTCGGTTGGCGTCTTCACGGAGGGAAACACGCAAGCTGTCCTCCAGGCCTGTCACTGTACCACGAAGAGTCTCTAGACCAAGAGAGAGTCGCTGCACATCCTCTTCTATCCTATCCAACCGCTCATCTTCGATACTGTTGTCATCATGATCTGTGAATGCATTATATTTATTTAGTTAGTCTGAACACACTTGCAGCTTTATATTGTACAAAGAAATTATGACTCTAGAAAACTGTATATACTAGAGTGTGTAACTGTAAAATATAGCTCATTTACCTTGGTTTGTTTCACTTCCACCAGAGGGCGCCTGTGCATTGGGAACAGGCTCTGTCTCACTATGTTTTGGTATAGAACTATAGTGATCTGGCTGTGGATTCTGGTAGTCTGTGATTGGCTCATTCTCTTCTGGGATTACATCATGGCCAAGATCTTGAGGCTCTGGCATCGGTTCAGGATAATCTACTTCCAGTTCCTGGTGGTCTGTAGAAATTTCAGCTGAGGTATCTCGGGAAGAGGGACCAGTATTGGGGCCTGGGTATTCATTCACGCCATTAGGTGGTGTTTGAGGTTGATTCCAGGGGTTTCCATTGAAGCTGGGATAGGGAAATTGGCCTTTAAATGAAGGCACTGGACCCTTTTGAGAGGGATTGGGACCTTTAAATGAAGGCATTGGACCCTTCTGCATAGGCCCGGGACCCTTCTGTGCAGGCATAGGCCCTTTAAAAGAAGGCATAGGACCCTTCTGTGCAGGCATGGGCTTTTTAAAAGAAGGCATAGGACCCTTCTGTGCAGGCATGGGCCCTTTAAAAGAAGGCATAGGACCCTTCTGTGCAGGCATGGGCCCTTCAAAAGAAGGCATAGGACCCTTCTGTGCAGGCATGGGCCCTTTAAAAGGAGGCATAGGACCCTTCTGCATTGGCATAGGTCTTTTAAAAGAAGGCATAGGACCCTTCTGCATTGGCATGGGCCCTTTAAAAGTTGGCAGAGGACCCTTCTGCATTGGCATGGGCCCTTTAAAACGAGGCATATGACCCTTCTGTGCAGGCAGTGGTCCTGTGAATAGGGGCCTTGCTTTCATTCCATATACCGCAGTACAACCAACACCTGCATATCCAGGACAGCATTTCCACTCCAGCTCTGTCATAGTCTTATATGCAACTTTATACATGGGTTTGTAGTACATGCGATACCTGTAAGAACAGACAGGGTGTCAAAATGAGCTAAATCTAACAAATGCATTTTTTATACAAATATATATTTATATACAAATGTATGACAGTTAAACAGTTATTAATAGCTTACTTTATAGTTGGGCATTTCTGACCCCAAGCACACTTGTTGTACTCTGGCTTCATGAAGGGAGCCGCTCCATCCTGAATAGTGAACGAGACAGTCTTCTCCACAACATATGCACAGTGGTTCCTGAAGAGATACAATTATATAACACTCAATCATTGAAGTTGTCAATAGCAAGAAAAACAAATATTCCCTCTCTCTCAACACTGAAAGAATCAGCTATTTGCTGTGCTGTACACAATATGCTATGTTACCTAAATAAATGTTACCTAAACCAACCTTTATATATTAACATTAGCCAACCAGTAGTTAATAAAAACTAACAATCAACAGAATTTCAACATTTATTTATCTTGGTTAATTTGTACATATATTTTAACATTAAAAATTACATACACTAACATTGTTTTATAGTTCCACTAACAATTACAGAATATATAATCACATTAACAAAATTAATCAATTCTACATAAATTATCATTGTTGTTGGTGATGATACCTAATGCATTTACTAATGTTAATGTAAAGATCTCATTGTAAACATTTTTATTCTTTATGAATTCACCACATTTGAGGAGATTTATGATAGCACCTCAATGTAAACCAAACATATTGCACCCAACAGTAATACCAAACTGGAAAATGTTAACTCAACAAGTATTTATTGTCTACAGGAAGAGTTGGACATGTGGTCTTGTGTCATATTTTCTTAACTACGATCTTAAACAGCATCTCACATGATGTTGGAATGGAAGATTCCTTTTTATTGAAATCATTTAGTAACATCCAACAGCTATTTCACCACCTGTGCCATCAATTAAGAGAATGAATATTTCGCTCATGGATACTCACTTATGCCTGGCTGTCGGTTTTGCTGA